TCCTTCCTACCGGTACCCATTATTAACACGTGGATGAAGAGTGGCAAATTTAGATTGATGTCTTTTCAAAAGGACACTAGTGCCGCGCCGGGACTCGAATTCGCGACCTTCGCATCTCTATTTAGTAAAGTGTTGATGGCACCTCTACATGACGAGCAAAAATTCCGCAAATTTTGGAAATACTGGATCTGATTGTTAATTTTCTAGTTTTGATCGAATTAACTTGCTTTTGAGCTGGACTTGCCATCTGACGCATGGTATATTTAGATGCACCTGCATGAACGGTGTCCTTGTAGATGGCTTTCAAATATGAAATGGGTTAACGAGGGGAATGCCCTAACCCAAGGACAGCTGTTGATATCTAATATGAAACGCAAGGAAGCTTCTCCCTTCCTCATATCATCAGCTGGACTGATGGACCCAAACCGGAGCAAGAAATGGACCTCAAAAGATGAGTGATTGTTCAAAATATCTCCAACCATGCCAAAACGGAAGGTGTTCAAATTGACTTCCAAAGCTATTTTGGGATGATTTATTAATTTTGTTCATTTTTTTCTTCTATAGATCGTTTATAGTGAAAGTGACCGAACCCATTCAAAAGTTGTATGGACTTTACGATTTTCATAATTTTGTTGACAAAGTCGGGGTACATACTATTCGAGGAACGCCCTATTAAACATACGCTTGAGTTCCTCTCTGTTTCATCAAGATTTTCAATATATCTTGCTATAAAAACTTGGACATAAAAAATACAAACAAGGACAACAAAAATCAATAAGTATCTCCAGGCTGAGTATCTCTCTACTTTTAAACTTGGGCTCTTTGTAGATTTTTTGAAATCCTCGCAACATCTTCGATTTAACTTCAAGGCTTCAATTTCTCTGCAATATGTGCTGAAATTTGTGCATTTTTGTCATCCCAATGTTTATAAGACATCCAAAACAAATGAGAATATTTTCTATTATATGAAGGGGAAGGGGTGGCTTCAGAGAATTCTAAAATGGCAAGTGAAAATGTGAAGAAAAATAAATTGTTAAAGATATGTTTTGGGGGATAGGACTTATCGATATATTTTGTCATACTAAAATGGGCACCTGAAAAGTTAAGAATCTATTTCTATTTTCCTTGTCGGAGATTTTCCACAGACCTGTATCCACAATCCAATCCCAGGAAAGAGAATCCTGGATCACTAATTTCTCTTTTGTCAAAAGTATGGGGTTAGGGTTGAGCGTAGGGTTGTGATTAGGTTTTAGATTAGATTCGGGTTTAGGGTTAAGGCAGGGATATGAGAGTTAGAAACACCTCCCTGGTTAGGGTTAGGTATAGTGTTATGTACAGTCCACTAGGGTTGAAGTAAGGAATTCGGTTAGTGAAGATAAATACCGCGGAGTACATGTCGTAGAAGCATGTGTCATAAGCCCTTGATGATCCACCGAGTGTCACTTTGGTGTCATTATGAAGATCATTCGACCACCACATGTGGATGACGATGCATGGCAGCAAGAGGTTGGGCTTAAAACCTGATTAATATTCCACATTACTCTAGAGGGCTGGTGCAATTTAGTTAGGCTGAGGTAGGGTGAGACAGGTGACAAGGGAGAATGAGGCAATGAACAGAAACATAGAAAATAAGAGAACATGAAAAGGGAATGCCCTGTTAATTTCTGCCCGCAGAAATAAAATCCCTGGGAGAAATTGGGTGAGGGAGGTCAGACAAGAATAGAATGAGATAAAAACGAGAGACTGAAGAGACAAACAATGATATAGAGGGTAAGAGATTGAGAAGAGTAAGAGAAAGTAAAGACAGACTAAAATGGAGAAAAGAGTTTCAGCAAGAGAAAGAAGATAAGCGGAATAAAATAAATAGACTGGTAAAAAGAGGATTGAGAGGGAAAGAGGGGAAGAGAGATAAAGAAAGATGAAGAGACATATAGATCGAGACAGAGAATTAAGTGGGGTAAACAAATGAAGGAAGAAGTTGAGAAAGAGAAAGCACTAGGGGATAAGGGTCAAGAAAATAAAACAGACATAGGTAGAGTGAAGGAGAAAGAGATAGATAGAGAGACAGAGAGAATGAAAGAGAAATATATGGGGAGTAAGAAAGATATAGAAAGAGAGACAGACAGATAGAGAGACAGAGAGAATGGAAGAGAAATAGATAGGGAGTAAGAAAGATATATAAAGAGAGACAGACAGATAGAGAGACAGAGAGAATGGAAGAGAAATAGATAGGGAGTAAGAAAGATATAGCAAGAGAGACAGACAGATAGAGAGACAGAGGGAATGGAAGAGAAATAGATAGGGATTAAGAAAGATATAGAAAGAGAGACAGACAGATAGAGAGACAGAGAGAATGGAAGAGAAATAGATAGGGATTAAGAAAGATATAGAAAGAGAGACAGACAGATAGAGAGACAGAGAAAGAAACAGAAGGAGGGAGGGAGGATGCTGATGGTTTTAAGGAAGCTGATTCAGGGATTCAGGAGTGAGGTGTATGTGGTGGTGTATGTATACCCTAATCATCCACATCCTCTACATGATGTCCTGCTCTCTATCTTTAGGCGAGCAGGGTGGGTCCCAGCAGCATCGCGAGCTTCCGTCGCTGTCTGATACGTGCTCGGGACGATGCCAAGAAACAAACAACATCCAGAGAGATGGAAAGGCTAAGCCATCCCATATCATGTTAGGAGACTAGAAGGGAACTATATCTGTAGCGAAACGAAATAAAGCCCTTATGGCTCCAGACCTAGATGATATATCACCATCGATATATCCCTATAGATCTTTCGATAAAGACACCCATTAACTAAGATATCCTGAAGTATATCCATGTACATCATGAAGATAATTCACAGTAGTCCCGTTACAGTACAAGGAAATAGCTATTTCTGTCAACTTTTGGCAACTATTGTCTCTTTCCTTTTTCCCATGTCTCCTACTAACCAGCTATCTTCACATCAAGTTCATTTCATGCTTTCAGTTTCCATGCCATCCATTCTATTTTTTCTCCCATGTTGTATCACACACTACTCACACATTTCTTAGATGTCTACTATATTCTTGTCTCATTCTCCTATAGTATTATTTCTATCTTCATCTTTCTTCCCTTCTCTTCCTCCTGCTCTGTACCTCTTCCCATCACAATAGTCTGTACATAATACATGACCATAATGTATCAGACTTGTTCTGTTTATACCTTTAATTTTAATAGAAATTCTATGCATATGTATTTGAAAGCCATGTGAGTTATCACAGACTTAAATGTGTACTTATAAAGTAATATTTGACATAACTTATCTTAAAAATTGTCACATAATTTCAGCTATCATATATAGTGTCCTGTTTCAGGTGGTGATTATTTTTTTGAGAGAAAATATGAATATACCATGAAAGGCATGATAACAGTGAGAAGCACCTTGTGCAAAAAAATGGTAGAATGGTTTCTTTAGTATATACTTTTCCATTTTAGAACATATATGTATATGTATAATTGCATCGCATTTTAATATATTCTCATACAATTATGAACAATATAAGGCAGATTAGAGTCATTTAGCTGTTGGTAGAATATCTAAAAGAGCGCTCAAATACAAAAGATCAATCTTAAAGGGATAGTTGAGTTCTGTTGCAGAGGGCGGTACACAAAATATTTTTTTTGTAACTAAGTGTCAAATTTGAAAGAACATACAATTTAAATGACCAAATCATCTTTGTTTGATCAAAATCGGTTCAGAGACGGCTGAAATATCCATAAATATAACGATTTCTAATACTTGTGAACCAACACAAATATTAGATAATTTGAAAAAGCAGTTGAAAAACTCAAAAAGCGCCTTTTACGTTGTATTTCAGCCAATGTCGATGTTGGCTTTTTGTTGGCATTTTCATGTTGGTTACATTATGCACAACCGGCTGGCCCATGTATTGTTATTTTTAATTAAATAATTAATTAAAGGTCACCATGTTTTGGGGAAAGTGGAGCTGAATTGGTATGATCGTATTGGCTAAATTTCACACATTTTGGGGTCTAAAATTACCTTCATGGCAATTTTAGGTTCTAAAACGGCACTAGAAATGTCATCGATAAGAATAAGGGCAATATTATCATGCACTTTGAAAGCATTTGCGGTCTGAAAACAGAACTCAACTTTCCCTTTAAACCAATCAAGATAACAAAAGACAAAGACTTTCTGGTAAATAACCCAATAGCCCATGATCTAGTGACTAAACACTTTTGTCTGATCCCTTTGTTCTGACACTGCACTTTTTTTTCTGATTTTGCATTTACATGTATAGGGATGTGTTGTTTCAAGGACAATTAAATGATTTAAAAGATTATAATAGAGGAGCATTTTGGGGGGAGGGGGCAGTCCTCTTGATGTTGACTAATAACAAAATCCAAAGAACATTACCCGGTAAATGAATTTTAGGTGCAATATGGTATATGCACATGTGTCAATTTGGAGGGAAAATAAAAAGTATATACTCAAAAGTAAGTAATATAAATATATATTCTTCCTTTTATTCTTCATTATTTGACATATATTATTTCCAAGATCATTTATTAAGGTTCAGCAAAGTAAACATCAAGGATCCCAAACTCCAATCTTGCATTTGTTGCATGACATAACACAATACTACATGCACGAACAAGTTCTAAATCATGTCTAATTAATCAGCAGACTGGGAGTAGAGGAGGAGGAGCAAACTTGATTTTCTACATTTGATCTTCTGTCTGCGGTTAGATATGCGATGTTTAAGAAGAAAGTTAATTACACATTTATTGCTTAGAGTACTCCAATGCCAACACAACATCTCCTACTTTATGAGCTGCCAGTCACAAACCAGGGCCCCATGTTTTTTATTCAATCTTTGATCTTCAGACTGCTTTATATTGTTTCCATTTATACCGCAGAGGGCGAACAATTGAGCAGTTTTAGAAATGACCAGCTATATGGGCAAAACACCCAGAGAGTGGAACAAGCATCTTCTTTCTTAAATCAAAGAGTTGATAGCATTTGGAGGAACATGTCAAGAGGTCTTTTGATGTGATCCTCTTCCTACCGATGGGCGAGAAGGAGCAGAATCCAACCCAACTATGTCAAGTGTCTTAGAGGTTCTCTCACAGAAAAAAAGAGGTGGGGTCATCTATTTGTGGCATCAAGATTCCTAAAACATCTCCTCTCCTCATCATCTCTCCTCCGACCTGATAGATAACCATTGTAGAACTCTTTTGATGTCATCCTCTTCCTCCCGATGGGAGAGATGGAGCAGAATCCAACCCAACTATATTAAGTGTCTTAGAGGTTCTCTCACAGAAAGAAGATGTGGGGTCATCTATTTGTGGTATCATGATTCTTAAAACATCTCCTCTCCTCATCATCTCTCCTTCGACCTGATAGATAACCATTGTAAAACTCTTTGGCTGTCATCCTCTTCCTACCGATTGGAGAGACGGAGCAGAATCCAACCCAACCATCCTATCATAGAGAGCAAAATAGAATGAGAAATGCTTTTTAAGAAACGGTAAAATTTTCTTGATGATGGGTGATGCATGTCAGCAGTTCTTGAGTTGTTATACCTGAGCCTACATTTATTCAAATTGATCTAAGCCTCTCTAAATTGTTGGGAACCCAACAAATTTGATGGCAAAAACTCGCTTCAATTGTATAATGAAGTGAAAGAGGATGTCATTTAACACTGACTTCTGCAAGGATTTTAAGAATAAATGTGTTTGAAGACGAATATGATAAAAGAATACAAAATTTAGGTTTTCTGCGTATAACACAAAACCCAAGTTTCAGCAATATTCATCAATATTCAAACACATTTGTTTTGAAAATCCTGCAGAATTGAGTGTTAAATGACATCCTCTTTCATATCATAACATAATTTAAGTAAAATTTTGCCATCCAAACTGTTAGCAAATTTGAGGCTCCCAAGACTTATAGAAGGGCTTTAAGCCATTGGAAAAGGTTGTTATTGTGGTATTCAATGGCTCAAAATCAAATACCCAAACTTGATTCACTATCATTGTAGGAAACGTTATTTCTGTGAAACATATCATTCTGAGACTGAAAACAACTATTCAATATATGGATTTTTTGCATGCTGCCATTTATGAATTTATAATTAGCAGAGCTATGTTACCAATACAAACATAAGCATAATCTAATCTTGATAAAGTCACAGGAAGCGTGTGGAAAAGCAGTTGGTGTGAAAATTGTAACAGATCAACCCAAGAAAAATCAACAACAAAAACAATAACACAACACAATAAAAGCAAACAAACATTTCAGAAACATTGTAGTCTGTTAGGTTTCACAATAATAGTGATCTTCATTAATATATATAAAAGAATTTGATCATAAAATTGAATACAGAAAAGAAAATCATATTAGACTACAAGTGTCCTGTGATAATTAATGCTTTTTCAAGATCCTTAAAGCTATTCTTGTCCAAACTGCTTGTTCAGAAAGATAAGCACTGAAGATTCAACGAGGAGTGAACCATGAACTCACCTTACATCTTACATAGATGATGCTTTTATTTTTTGGGAGAGAAATGAGACCTGGTTCATCCCCCTCATAGATTGGAAGATCTAGATGAAAATCAAAAACATAAAAAAATGTTGTTGACTAAAGAAATTATGCACACACAAAATTTAATAATCATGGAAATACAATTTATTCCCTTAAAAAGGAAATGATGTTTATTCACTAAATGTAAGTTGCTGACAGCTCTTAATGATGCGCAGTACAACATTTTTTCTTTATCAGATTATGAATTATATAATTGATTGTAGCACTAGAGAAATATTTTAGAAAGAGTAAAGGCGTGTCTGAAATACAAGTGTCTTTGTGTGTAATAAACTTCTTGAAGAGATTGATACCATTTATTTCTTCTTTCCAAGCAAGCAACCAAGTTAAATGGATGTGCAAGAAGACGTGTGAAGATTGGAGAAAGATATAGCATCTGGAGTCAAGGAAAATTCCAAAGCCTTCTGGTCATACGTTAAGACTAAAACCACCCCTTGAGAAAGTATCGGCAGTCTTATTAAGTCGGATGGAACCACTACTGAAACAGACATAGAAAAAGCCCAAGTACTGCAAGACTTCTTTATCAGTGTGTTCACCCGTGAAGATTTGCAGAATATGCCGACTTCTCCTGAAATTGACTTTGAATCAGCATTAACAAGCTTTGCTGTCGTACCATCAGACGTGTTCGAGTTGCTAAGGAATCTGAAACCAAATAAGTCTCAAGGACCTGATGGATTGCATCCACGTTTACTGCAAAGGTTGGCAGGCGTTCTTGATGTGCCACTTTCACTCTTGTTCAAAATGAGCTTAGAAAAGGGAGAATTACCCTTGGACTGGAAATCGGCTAATGTTACGCCCATTTTCAAAAAAGGAAACAAGCAAGAAAGCAGAAACTATAGACCAGTGAGTCTCACATGTGTTGTGTGCAAGATATTTGAGTGCACGGTGATAAAGCACATCATATAAAACCTATCAACAAATCACCAACATGGCTTCGTTGCTGGTCGTTCCTGTACCACTCATCTGTTGGAAGTACTCAACGACTGGACACATACCTTGGAAGAGGGAAGTAACATTGATGCAATTTACATGGACTTTATGAAAGCTTTTGACTCAATACCCCATTATCGATTGCTGCAGAAAGTTGAAGCCTTTGGCATCCAGGTTCAGACACTGGGATGGATCAAAGCATTCTTAGTTGGAAGGAGACAGCGTGTAGTAGTGAAGGGTCAACTGTGTTGAAAATTGGCAGGTCCCCCTCAAGTTATGATTATTGCATGAGGAATGGCAATGAAACTACAATCCTGAAAGAATCTAAAGTGGAAATGGATCTTGGTGTGCTTGTCGATTCTAAGCTGACCTTCAAAGACCACATCTCCCATGTTGTATCCAGGTCTAACAGGCTACTGGGGGTGATACGAAGATCATTCACAAACTCTTGTACATAGGCCTGGTAAGGTCTGTCTTGGAGTACGGACAAGCTGCATGGTCACCATACAGGATAGGTGAACAGAAGAGACTTGAAAGCGTCCAACGAAGAGCTACAAAGATGGTACCCATTTTGAAGAATCAACCATACAAAACACGTCTGAGATACCTGAAGCTACCATCTCTTGCCCATCGCAGGAAGAGAGGAGATATAATCGACGTGTACAAGTACCTCCATGGCCTATACACCACTCAGACAAACTTACTACATTTATGCAAGGAAAATAGAACAAGATGGTACCTAGTTTGAAGAATCTACCATACGAAATGCGTCTGAGATACCTGAAGCTACCGTCTCTTGCCCATCGCAGGAAGAGAGGAGATATGATAGACGTTTACAAGTACCTCCATGGCCTATACACCACTCAGACAAACTTACTACATTTATGCAAGGAAAATAGAACACGAGGCCATACCCTGAAACTAGAGAAGAAATTTTCACATCTCGACATCAAGAAATTCTTTTTCTCGAATAGAGTAGTGGGCACATGGAATAGCCTATCTGAAGAAGTGGTTAATGCCCCATCTTTAAATGTCTTCAAAAACAAACTTGATAACTATTGAGAGAAATCACCTTCAGTATATGATCTTGAAAGTAAATAGAAGAATGCAGAAGTATTGATGCAAAGGAATTCAATCGATCGATGAACAGGCTCTGTCCTACCAAATTCGATGGATTAAAGTAAAGTAAGTAAGTAGTGAAATCCAAGCAAGAAAACAAATCTTACCTGAGCAATCTGCTGGAGATACCATCTGTTCCAGTCTCATTTCCTCTCCTCCAAAGAGAGTTTTAAGGGGCATCTGATGAAAAATAATGTTCAAAACATAAATCATCTACAGAGAGTGATAAACACCATGAAAATATTGTGGCAACACATGCATTAAAGGCACAAATATACCAGGCTTTAATCAGTATTACTGCTAATAATTTTGAGTATTTTCTCACACAGCTATTACAATACTACAAGTCTTGAAGCCTATATAATTGACATATAAATCAGGTAGATAAGTATGTGGCTGTGATTGTTAAGATTGTAGCTGGGATGGCTATACATATAATATACAAATCTTTCTTCACTCATCAATAATCAGCATATATTCATAAAATCTTTTTTTTTAAATTAAAAAATTGCAGCTTTAAATATTTTTTTATAAAAATCATCACCTACCTGTTCTCCAACGGCCCTATACAATCTGTATATATCCTGAGATGTAGCTCCCCAGTCTATCCATGCTAGTTTATTTGGTATTTTAAGTCCTGCAGTACAAAGGTCAATGTAACAAATAAATTGACACTCAGTTTTACTAACAATAGCCTAAAAAATATATTTATATGCACATGTATAAAGGAATGATTCTTCTTCATTACAACATATTAGCTAGAATAATATGTTTGAAGCTCAACTATCAGAGATGGATTCAAACATAACAGAGTTTGTATTCTCTATTCATTTCAAAATGGTTTAATATGTGCATTTGAATATGATCAGTAACTTGGTTTTCAAATTACCGGTACAGTACTGTTTCTTTTCACAACTTGAATGCTTCTTACAGGCTTACATGGATGAATAGGGGGAATTATCACTGATGCATGCTAGATTGTATTAACCATTTGACTCACCTAATGTAGCGCCCTCTTCCCTCTGTGGCATTTCATGTTCAATAAACCAAGTAAGGTTGTGAAGGACTTCCGATAACTAGAATTGACAAAGGAGATGTAAGGCAATTTAAAGTTTGGAGACATTTACAGTAGTACACAAAATTCATTGAGAGAAAAACTAAATTCTGAAAACCAAAGAATGGTATTTTTTAAACAGGTTTTTTTTTTTCCTTTAGCTTTTAGGTAATTGAATATTAAACATAATAGCAAAATAGCAAAATAATAAATTAGAAATATGCACATATATCTGAAAGCAGAAGCAAAAAGGAAATAAGCAACTCTTTCTTTCCTTGAAATACATGTTGCAATTAAATACACTTATTTCTCTTGGACTTGGTGAAGTCATAACTTGATATGTTCAATATGGGTACGAACTTCAAAATCAATAATAAATTGATGTGAACAGTGAAATCAAAGTGACTATTTAAACAAATGTACTAATATTGGTTACATAGAGTTGGATCATTACATTATAGTACATACTAAACCATCCATATCAATCTACTATTATATCCTTTTAAAATTCTTTATATCAAGTTCGAACATACCATTTCTGAACCCTTTTTGGCAAGAAGATGGGTAAGACTTTTTGTTGTACTGTTGCTTGGAACATTGTACTCCCTCTGTAGAAGAATGGGTCCAACATCAAATCTGCAATGAAAAGGAGAAATAAAAGAATATTATAAGAGTGCCTGCTTGTACGACATACAAAACAATAATAATTCCTCTGCACTAGAACTCAGAAATTCATCAGGTTAATGGCAAGCCTTCCCTCTGAGAGTAAGTTTGGTGATAATTGGCTAATCAAATATTGGATAGCTTCATGATGAAAATGAATAATTAAATGGATAAATACTTAATGATGGTGATATTTAAAGCATATGTGTAACAGGAAAAAGGATACAAAAGTGAATATTTTTATGAAAATGGTTAAATTAGTCAGTGATTTGGAATTGGTGGCAGTATATAAACACTGGAGGCCTGGAAGAAACACTACATTAATAATAATAATAATAGGCATAACCGCATTTATGAAACACCCACTTTTAATACAGTCACAAATTAATATATCCATTCCTGCTACATGTATACTGCCATCTATGGTGAGGTGCTAAACATCCACATAATAACAAATGTACTTACATGTTAGTGGCCGATACGTGACAGGTATTTTCATGCAAATTTTTGCTGCCAGCATAAAGTTACCTTTCTAATCTACAAACCTCATATGAGTTTAGAGTGTTTAAAAGTTATTTGTAATAGTTTCAATGACAAAAAGACACAATTGCTATATTTCCACAACTTGAAACCATATGAACCAATTGTATACGTACTGGTCTCAAAATGTTACCTGTGTGGTTGGATTCTCATGATGGACACCCCAGTGACTTCATCACCATTGAGTATAGTATGCTGGATAGGTGCACCTCCCCTCCATCTAGGCAGTAGACTGGGGTGCACATTAAGTATACCTCTGAAAAGATATCAAGTGATGAATTGTTAATTTGTATCTGCATCAAAATTGAAAAGTGAGATACTAGTGAACACAACAATAAATGGAAATATGCTCAAATCTAAAATCATTACGATGCCAATATGTCTTTAATTGATCATGACCACATAATTGTTTAAATTTCTTTTCCTTCATCATAATTTTTTTCTACCTTCCTTTTTTGGTTTTAATGAAAATCAACATGATTTCAAATTGGACTCTTCTCTGAAGCATTTCATTTTTACTGGCCTATCCGATGTATTACTGTACGAAACAGAAGAAATCAAACCTTACTTAGCATTCTTCAGGTATATTCCTCAACATAACATTTTAACAACCCCTGAGAAGAGAATAAACCAAATACTCTTACAGTGGAAAACTTTTGATGAGCCACTCTGGTAGTAGATGGCCAAAAGAAACGGTGACCCCAACATCGAACCCAGATATGTGATCATCCAGAGGCCATTGGTGGCAGGTCAGATGCTGCTCTTGACAAAACTCCCAGACTGGTGATGGCTTCCTGGTTTTACCTCGTCGTTTGATGAACTGTGCAATACAAATTTAATAACATTGGTTTCTATTTTTTCCATCTAAAAGCCAAAAGTCATATTAAAGGTACTATGTCCCTTTTGCAGCCAACCTCAAATGCTGTAGAACTTTGCAGGAATTATGAATATGTCATGTATGTCCTATCTGTGAAATTTAAACGTTAGCAGTGTCCTCATATTCAAATTATGCAAGGAAACCTGTTTACTTGCTAGACTTCACTGTCAGACACTATTGAGTCACTGACTGGCTTTTTTTCTTCTTTGCTAATAACATACATAAAAAGAGTTGTAAAGGGTACATGAGCATTTGTCTACATCAATAACCCACTTCTTGTGATGGCCAAGATTAAACTGATTGAATCTTTGCGCAGCATAAAACGTATGACCATTCGGTACAATTGTCTGAAAATCAAGACTATTACTTTTGGGCTCTATAGCCCTAAAGTCGATTTGACAACTAATAGTCGTTATTTTCCAACTTGAAGAAATTTTCAAGCCCCACTTTTTTTAGGGGAGTTCTAAATTAGTATTATCTTTCAAATGCAGTTGGAATTTAACTTTTTCATTTTTTGGGCCTGCAAATGGGACAGAGTACCTTTAAATAAGTGTTTTTGTTCACTAAAACCAAGGAAGAAAACACATTTTCCATATTAATCTTGTCAAAATACTAGTATCTAAAAAAAATGGTAAAAATAACAAATACCTTAAAAACTTTCTTTGAAAAAAACAACTTATTAGTATGTTCTAGAGAAGGTCACAAGATCATATAGTAAAAAGGTGACACTAATATTTACAGCATACATACAACTGAGAGATTTCAACTGGTGAACATATATTTATAAGACATTAGTTTTGAAAAGGCAATTATATTTACAATTTTCATTCCTTTTGAACAATAAAATGTGATTGTTAGTACAGCGAAAGCATAAAGTCCGTGGCAAAAAATGCTTGAAGTATTTGTCTTACCGTGCTTTGTGGAACTACAACTTCAAGCTTGTCAATCAAGTGGCCATTCTGTCTGGAAACAAAATAAAACAGTATTTTTTTTATAAATTCAGCTTCCATTTGTTTTGATGCTGTTTTCCTTGATTGCATCACTATAGAAACTGACACCTTCTTTTAGAAATACAAAAAATCTGAAATATCTGTGTATTCACACCTTCAGCTTCAGATCATGTTAAATGTACTTGTAAAATACTTCATGCACCTAGATAATCATGAAAAAGTGGTTCCATTTTCTGTTAACTGAAATTTTCTTCCTGAAAGGGAAACATAGTTTAGAAGCTTGTACAATCGTAGGAGGCGAGTCATATTAAATCAGTAATTTTTTTCTTCACTTTTCAGAACACCTCTCAATATTTAAAATATAAATTAAATCTTCCCCATTACCAAAGTCCCATTTTTGCATCTCAAAACACTGTATAACAATGACAACAAATACTTTAGTGTTTTTTAATTGTTCTTCATCATTATTTTTTGTTGTTGGTGGTAATAGCATGTCCTAGGTTTAGTTTCATACCAGTATGGTTGAGTAGCTAAAGATTATAATTTCAAAAATAAAGGGTAAAAACACTAGGATTATTCTTTTAGTGTTCTTTTGAGTAAATTTGAAAAGAGGACAGAATAATAGAGCAATTTTGGTAACAAAGCAGTTAATCAAATGACAGTGAGGATTTAATACCCCTTTTCTTATCCTTCATCTCATCTTTTTACAATCTTGCCTGTTTCTTACCTTGATTCTTCCATAAGCTGCAAATGAGGAAGTGAGAAATGATCAGTCCCGAAGAACATCACATTCCATCTCCGGTCCTGGCCTGTCTGACATTGAACATGACACTGTCTCTGAGCGAAAAGAACCTTTCCTACGTTCTTTGTCCTGTGAAGTCTCAAACAGTTGCTATGGTGACTTGTAAGAAACAGGCCAATGGAGAAAACATGTCTTTTCAGCATTACATGTGGCATTGTGATAAAGATCTGCTTCATCTATGCACGGATCAGCTGCCAATGTTATGTTTGTTTTGTCTCAGTTGAAGTACATCCATCCCAGCTTGACTTGAAAATTCTGATAGAGTTCTATTCAGCCATGGGGAAGAAGAGAAATTATAAAAAATGTACATACAATGTAGGAAGAAAAAAACTTGGAGACAAACTGTAGACCCTATTCATCATCAAATGTGAAACACTTACATTTTTATGAAAATAACAAAGATAACAAGATTAAAGTCATACTATACAAGAAGCACTGCCACAAAAATATGTTTTGGTGAGATAAATCTCGCTCAAATGATACACAGAATACAGAATTAAGAATCTTTTATGGGTATATTGTTTCCCCCCGAGATAAAATAAATATCAGAGTACCACCAGCCCCTGACATCACACATAGGAGCATCACTATCCAGGCTGTGTAGTAAAAGCTGTGCTTTTGATTCTCAACATTTCAAACACCACTTTACAAAACTCAGTGATTTCACTAAAAATCGGTACTTTAGTGACAATTGATGACACCTAAATAGCAGTAAAATACATTTTTCCAACTTACTGATGTTAAAAAGAATAATTTAAAAAATAAAATTGTAAGTCTAGTGTCAAACTTTGCTTACAGCTGCATCGACATGATTGTGTACAGTCTATGTGATATTGTGTGGTGTGTATATTTGTGTATAGACTTCTAGTTCCCTGCCTCACAGCATGTATGCAGTGCTAGAGGTCAATACACATTAGCTTTGACTCTCTATGCTTTGCTGGAGTGCCTGACATATTTGTTCACATAAAAAAACAGATTCAAATATAGGAAAAGTGAAGGGTAGATAGACCCAAACAAGCAATTTGCAACACAAACAGAATACCAACCATACCAAGATATCTCAGCAATAAAATGAACTATTTCAATCTTAAATGGACAATTGAGAGTAATATTGCATATAGACAAATCCAAAGCCACAGCCCAGAACTGGAGATCAAATTTAGATAACTTCTTCTGAAATTGAAAACCATTGAAATTGAAAATAATAATCTAGACAGCAACAGACATTATTCAAATGATTATGAAATGGTCATGTAATTCATGAAAATCTTTTTTTTTTAATCATTGGATCCACCAAGTGCCTCTAGCTCTATCAGGAAATTAAGAGAATAAACGAGAACTAAAATTTTTAAAAAATACGAGAAAATCAACGAGTGGGACTAACGTACGGCAACTGTTGTAAATCTTCTTCTAAAAATTGCTTAATAAAAATATCAAAGTCAAAAAGCCTCAGTACTTCGTAATAACCTAAAAGGTATTAATCTTTCGTAAATACATAACTATTTACCTCGAATCATGCGAAGATACGGACTTCTATTCTATCCAAAGCCCTATCCAGCTTCTACTTGCAACCGACCGCCGAGAGATGGCGAGAACTTGGTCCTGTATCTTGGTCATACGAAACGCAAACAAAGACACTAGACTACGCAATTGTGCATCTACAAATATACTGGCTTATTTTTAGTAGGATAGGGAAGGTGTCTTTTTATCTTCTTTTTCTTCTTCTTCTTCTTCTTCTTCTTTTTCTTCTTTTTAACCATTAACCACAACAAAATAACTTAAAGGTACATGTATTTAGATTATTTAGCAGTGGCAGTTCCAGGTGGATCTTAAAAAAAAAAAAGGGGGGGGGGGAGACTGGGGGGGGGGGGGGAAGAAAAAAGAGAAAATAAAGAGATAAGGAGGTAAAAGAAAAGATCGAAGAGAGGACAATTAAGGAGAGAGAGAGAGAGAGAGAGAGAGAGAGAATTGATTTTCGACGAAATTAATCGAAGGGGGCATTACAAATTTCAAGGCATAGATTAGAGTTCCTATCGCTCAAGACGGCGATCTTTAAGGCTTTTTATTGCTAAAAACTATATGAGCGTCCAGGTCCACCTCTGCCCCCCCCCCCCCCCCCCCCCCCCCCCCCCCCCCCCCCCCGGCATCTGGATCCCATGTAAATGTCTTTTGGAGAGATTGTGTGTGTAAGACACTATGAACATGACAGACAATGAAAGCGGACAAAATATACAGTTCCTCAGGTAAACAAAGGGACATCCCTTCACTGCTATTATGTAAAAATGTGTAGAACAGGTGTCACATGCATATTCACCTGTTCTACACATTTTTACACAATAGCAGTAAAGGGGTGTTCCTTTGTCTACCTGAGGAACTGTATATTTTGTCCGCTTTCATTGTCTGTCATGTTCATAGTGAGAGGGAATTGATTTCCAACGAAATAAACCAACAGGCAGAGGCGGTGATTTTGTTTTCTAAACTTCAGGGGATGGCCCTCTAATATTTCCAGGGAGAGGCGTACCCCACCGCCCTTTGAATGGATGACCCTGCAATAGGTCCTATGGGAGTTTACATCAGGCGCAAAATCCCGAAAATTTGAAAATCGTGCAGGCCAAAAAGTCGCTCAGTGGTGGTGGTGGGGGGGGGGGGGGGGTGGGGGGTAAGAGGACATTTTTTTTTTGTCCCGAAAATTTGAAAATCACGCCGGCCGAAAAGTCGCTCAGTGGGGGGGGAGGAGGGTCCAGAAAATTTGAAAATCGCGCCGGCCGAAAAGTCGCTCAGTGGAGGGGGGGGGGGGGGGGGGGGGGGGGTTAGCGAGCACATTTTTATTTTTTTTGGTTGTCGAAAATTTTAAAATTTGCACCCCCCCCCTTGAGCGCCAGGGGGGGCCCAACCTCCAAAAAAGGTAAAAATCACGTGTTTTTACATTATTTTTTTATCAAGGGGGGGGGGGGGCCGGGCCCCCGGGGCCCCCCCCCCCCCCTGGATCCGCCACTGGTTTACATCGTCTGGCACTAATAAACTGCAGGAGAATCTCTACCTTTGTAATATCTCCTATAATATTGTGAGCTACTAGTATGCGAGGAAGTGAGAAAAAAAACAACTCAATTTTGGATGGTGAAACTTAATGCATGTTAAACCAATTTGGAGCCTAAATACTGCAAATGGTGTTGCAGCCGTTACTCCTATTACTATAAATATATATACTTTTTTGTATTTTGGAAAATCCCCAGAAAAACACGTCGATCCCCTGTCCCCCCTTCCCGTAAAAAGTCACAGTTCGTAGAAGAAGAAAAAATCACCTCCGGAATCATGGACTTGCCCTATATCGACTCTTACAGGCAAACATCCATTGTGAAAAGAAATAACAAAGATTGGGCACCGATAAAGCAGATTTGCATACTAATCGTTTCAAAGTGTTTTCTTTTCATTCCGATTAGTGGTACTGCTTAGGTATGTTCCAGGCTCGGTGATCGGTCAATCATTTGGGATGAGGAATGTTACGACGGGGACAATGACTTCCCCCATCATGATAAAGCCGTCTTTCAGAGATGGACAAGCAAGATCAGAATGGCTTAAAGCTGGTTAAGATGACAGTTTTATCAATTGATTCTTATCTAGTCCAGTGATCAGATTCAATAGGAGAATCTCTCAACATAATCTGCTATCAAACCAACAATCTTCACCGACCTTCCATCTTGTCTTGCGCAGTTTTCGGTGAGTGAACACCATCTTCTTTGGCTCTGTCTGATCTACGGGATTTATGTTCCAATGTCTACCGGAATATGACTGTTTCGATAACTATGTTTCTATCAGTGCGATATATGACTCGTTATCTTGGGTATGATTGCAATTTCCTCGTATGTATATTATTATGCACCTTTATACATTTCTTCTTCTCCATTTGAGTACATCCCTCTTTACAAAGTATAGTCGTACTATACTGGGGTGTACGGGTGGACCACTACATCGGGGTTACCCCGTACTCTTATACGAATAGAGATAGCCTCATAAATATGTGAGTGGTTTATTTTGCGTTTAGATGCCTAATTATTGAAATTATTAATATTGTGAATGATTGTGTATAGCCTAAAATATTGATACGATTGAAATGTGAAGTCATCTGTAAAAGAGCCTGGTTATGTTTAATATCGTTGTGATTTTCATTGTTCTTCAACAATTCCGGCGCCAAGGAGTTGACGCCATTTTATGCATTCATGCGCTGTATACGAATATAGTGTACGTATATAGATCTATATAGGCCTCAAATACAGTAGGGCTATCCCTGTTCGTTTATATGAATGAATTTTTGTTGTTGTATATCCACGGATTATTGTTTTTATTTTGTGACATTCAATTTATTTTGATTTTCACGTAGTTGTATCCGTATTCATAATATTTTTGAAATTACAGTATCCACATGATGATTTTGGTTTTTTGCTTCTCTTGGCTCTTTAAAGGCTAAGTAGAAATTAGTGTAGGTATATTTGAACAAATATTTGTAATGCTTAGTTGAGTCAGGTGCTGATTATTTTTTATTTCTTCTGTACGCCTTTGAGGCTTAGTAGAATTTAGTTAAGGTAGTTCCAGGCTGGGAAATAGTGACCTGTGAATGATGAGCCTATACCGGGCACCACCCCTTAAACTGTAGGTTTAAAAATATATATTTGGAATGCTTAGTTTAGTCAAGTATTGATTTTTTTCTTTTCATCTGTAGGCTCCTAAATCATAGTAGAATTTAGTTGAGGTAGTTTCTTGCTGGGAGATGGTGACCTGTGAATGATGAGCCTACTGGGCACCGCCCCTTAAATTGTAGGAGAACGGCACGCCCAGTCAGGTTTTACAATATATTTTTAATGCTTAGTTTAATCAGGTACATATTTGTTCTTTTTTTTCTGTACGTCTTTGGGGCTAAGAAGAATTTAGTTTAGGTAGTTCCTGGCTGGGAGATGGTGACCTGTGAATGATGAGCCTACCGGGCACCGCCCCTTAAATTGTAGGAGAACGGCACGCCCAGTCAGGTTTTACAATATATTTTTAATGCTTAGTTTAATCAGGTACATATTTGTTCTTTTTTTTCTGTACGTCTTTGGGGCTAAGTAGAATTTAGTTAAGGTAGTTCCTGGCTGGGAGACGGTGACCTGTCAATGATGAGCCTACCGGGCACCGCCCCTTAAATTGTAGGAGAACGGCACACCCAGTCAGGTTTTACAATATATTTTTAATGCTTAGTTTAATCAGGTACATATTTGTTCTTTTTTTTCTGTACGCCTTTGGGGCTAAGTAGAATTTAGTTTAGGTAGTTCCTGGCTGGGAAATGGTGACCTGTGAATGATGAGCCTACTGGGCACCGCCCCTTAAATTGTAGGAGAACGGCACGCCCAGTCAGGTTTTACAATATATTTTTAATGCTTAGTTTAATCAGGTACATATTGGTTCTTTTTTTTCTGTACGTCTTTGGGGCTAAGTAGAATTTAGTTTAGGTAGTTCCTGGCTGGGAAATGGTGACCTGTGAATGATGAGCCTACTAAGCAACGCCCCTTAAATTGTAGGAGAACGGCACGCCCAGTTAGGTTTTACAATATATTTTTAATGCTTAGTTTAATCAGGTACATATTTGTTCTTTTTTTTCTGTACGCCTTTGGGGCTAAGTAGAATTTAGTTTAGGTAGTTCCTGGCTGGGAAATGGTGACCTGTGAATGATGAGCCTACTGGGCAACGCCCCTTAAATTGTAGGAGAACGGCACGCCCAGTCAGGTTTTACAATATATTTTTAATGCTTAGTTTAATCAGGTACATATTGGTTCTATTTTTTCTGTACGTCTTTGGGGCTAAGTAGAATTTAGTTTAGGTAGTTCCTGGCTGGGAAATGGTGACCTGTGAATGATGAGCCTACTGGGCAACGCCCCTTAAATTGTAGGAGAACGGCACGCCCAGTTAGGTTTTACAATATATTTTTAATGCTTAGTTTAATCAGGTACATATTTGTTTTGTTTTTCTGTACGCCTTTGGGGCTAAGTAGAATTTAGTTTAGGTAGTTCCTGGCTGGGAAATGGTGACCTGTGAATGATGAGCCTACTGAGCAACGCCCCTTAAATTGTAGGAGAACGGCACGCCCAGTTAGGTTTTACAATATATTTTTAATGCTTAGTTTAATCAGGTACATATTTTTTTTTTTTTCTGTACGCCTTTGGGGCTAAGTAGAATTTAGTTTAGGTAGTTCCTGGCTGGGAAATGGTGACCTGTGAATGATGAGCCTACTGGGCAACGCCCCTTAAATTGTAGGAGAACGGCACGCCCAGCTAGGTTTTACAATATATTTTTAATGCTTAGTTTAATCAGGTACATATTGGTTCTTTTTTTTCTGTACGTCTTTGGGGCTAAGTAGAATTTAGTTAAGGTAGTTCCTGGCTGGGAGCTGGTGACCTGTGAATGATGAGCCTACCGGGCACGGCCCCTTAAATTGTAGGAGAACGGCACGCTCAGTCAGGTTTTAAAAATAATATTTTTTTGCTTAGTTTAGTCAGGTACTTTTTTTTTCTTCTTCTGTACGTCTTTGAGGCTAAGTAGAATTTAGTTTAGGTAGTTCCTGGCTGGGAAATGGTGACCTGTG